TTATATTAACTTACCCGTAACAATTTTTCCTGTACTGAGCAGAATATAGTTCTCATTTACCTATTTCACATTGAAGCATCTTTTGGTCAAATCTGTATTTTCACAAATTTTTAGAGCCTATTAATTCAAGAATATTGTAAAAATATGAGGCACAGAAGGAATAGAGGAGACCTGGCTACACTTTTAGGTTTTAAATACACTCCACATATATGGGGTCAATCATTCACATGCCCACTGTCCTCTCTCTCTCTCTGGCTGTATTTTCTTCTCTAAAAAGTCTGTATGTCCTGAACCCCTTTCTGGCTTTAATGGGAAGACCCTCTCATATGAGATCAACCCAGCTCTGAAGACTTGGCACCACTGCTGAAAATCCCTGCAGAACAATTCTGTCAATGCACAGCGCACTTTCCACTGTTCTTTGACTCCTTTTTAACATGATGGTCTGTCCATAATCATTATAACACAGGTTATAGAAACTAATCCTTTAGTTTTAGTCCACCCCATAGGAAGGCATATATTAATTAATTTTGTTAATTTTAAAAGTCTTAATGTCATGTACAGAGATATTCAGTGGCAATATTACTCATTATTTGAAAAATTCTTAGATTCGTGACAAATATCTACATTAGTAGAAGGCTCAATAATAGTTGATGGAAGGTATAATATACTGACATATTATGATGTAAAAATAAGCTTTGGAGCTCTATCAGATTATTGTGCCATTTCAATGCTTTATAGGGGTAAATATACCTGATAAAGTTTCAATATGATGACTCTTCTTGGATAATACAAATTGTTTTATGGTATTTTATCACATCATCATTTGTATGATTGAATTAACATTTTAATTGCTAAAATTTGAAACTTCCATCTTCACTGATAATAGCCAGAATAAAGTCAGGGAGGATGTTAAGTACCCTCAACATCTTGGCAGTCATTCTGTAATTTTGACTGTTATTTCCTCTGGAAATGCTACCTCCCTTGGCATTTAGGACAGTACGTTCTTTCTGTTTTCTTCCAATCTCTGCCTGCTTTCAGTCTCTAAGGTAGGTTTACCCTCTTTCACTTTCTTAATAAATGTTTCTCAAAGCCTAGTGAGAAAGACTAAATATCTGCTTGCACAAATTTAAAATCAGATTGCATTTAATAGCTTTACAATATGTCTGTCTAAAAATCACATTAGTTAGCTTCTTTAAACCTCAACTTTTGAAATGTAAAAGGACTCCACTGACCTGTAAGTTACCGTACAAGAACGACATGCTCTTAGATGCAAATAAAAACAGTGAAATGGATTACTTGTAAAGAACATATTACTGACTGTATGTGGTTGTTACATAATAAACTCCAAGTATTTCTAAAAACTTTATATTTGCAAGTGACCTTTCCATTAACAAACTTGTACTCCTTACTTTATAGGTGAGAAAGTAAGTCTCAAAAGTGTACCTGGAGCAAGCGCATAAAACAAATTAAACACAACACAACAGGCTAATTTAAATGTTTTGTTAGCATAATATCTTACAAATGATTTTATCCAATATCCCTATAAAGTAATTTTATACAGTGCCTTTTCTTTTCTTTGCCTTTATTTTAACATAATTGCTAATCTGGGTTCAGATCAATCAAGACCCCCAAGAAACACAAAGGTAGAGCAACTAGGTTTATAATAAAAGAACAGAATATAAAGTGGCATGGTTTTATTAAGAGGGTGAGGACTGATCATTTCCCATTTTCTATTCACAATGATATTGATTCTTTTCCAACAAAATTTTATACGTAACTTGTTTATTAAATAAATGGAATTAAGTATGGTTTATAGGAGTAGAAAAAGTTTTACTTTTTTTTTTTTTTTTGACAGAGTTTTACTATTAACCCTCCGTAAAATGCTGCTAAGTCACAGCTCACAGCAACCTCCAACTCTCTGGGCCTAGGCGATTCTCTTGCCTCAGCCTCCCAAGTAGCCAGGACTACAGGCACCCACCACAATGCCTGGCCATCTCTTTGTTGCAGTTAGGCTGGAGCTGGGTTGGAACCCACTGCTCTCAATATATGGGGCTGGAGCCCCACTCACTGAGCCACAGGCGCCACCCAAAAGTTTTACTATTTTTCTTTCTATTGCCTTCAAAGTATTTCATTTCTTCTCTCCTCCAACTCTTGAAGACAACTTAGACTCTTTATCTTTCTAAATACTTTCAAGTATTTGTGAAATTATTCTAGTTCTGAGAATGATAGAATGGCTTTTATTAGATTGACCCTATAAAAAATAAAAATAAAGTAAATTTTATTTATTTTTTTCCTTTTAATAAAGTAAATTTGAAATCAAATAAAAAAAAAAAACCCTGAAAAACTCAGAAAGCAATCAGAGTAGGCAGAAAATGGAAAGTATTTAGTCCTTGAGATTGGTAACTGCAGTGGATAAAATACACTGTCTCTACTCACTATCTCCATAGAATAAATTCTCCCGGGTCCCAGACAAGTCAAAGAGACGTGGGGGGATAGGGGATAGAATTGAAGCAAAAAGGCAGAATCCTATGAGCTAATGTGTCAGAAGATGGAGTTTGAGTTCTCTAGGTTGGCCAGAAATTGAAAAGGGGATCATAGAAGGATAGAGTCCTGGTGGAGTGAGACCCCAAATTTGTGTATAAACTTTCTCAACTCTTTGGAATCCTAAATTGCTTGTGCAAGTGAGCATTTCTAAGAAAATCAGAGAATGCAACAGCTACGAGGCTAAATGAGCCAAGGAGGGGGTTACAATTGTTGCTTGTGACGGAAGACACAGTTAGAGTTCAAGTCTTCAGAGTCAGAAGGGCTTGGTAGGAAGCACACGGTTTTCACAGAAACTCTAGTAGGTTATACTTTAGGAATCAATGGGTTACCAAAACCAAAGGGTTTTCTTAGAAACAAAGATAAAATCGAGTGGGCCTGCCTTAACAGGTTAATGCCAAATCGCCACCAATTTAAGCAGAAGGGGTAGTAATTAAACTGCCCACTGAAAGAAAAATCACACCTCTTCAGAATATGCAAGTTAAGAGACATTGGGACAAATCTTAACAGTGTGTCCAACTACAATGTCTAATATACAATGGAAGAGAACCAGATGTGGGAAAAATCAGAAAAAACGTATCCTGAGATAAAATATACTGACATTTTAGCAAAGACGTCAAAGAAGCCATTGTGGACTTTATCACAAACTTCCCAAGGGACTAGATGGATGGAAAAGGAGAAGCCGTGAGGAATCTCAGCAGAGAAAGCGGAATTATAAAATAATATTAAAATTCTATGTCTCAAAAGGAAGCAATCTAGAATAAAAAAAGTTACTGAATAGAATTAGATAACTGGAGATGGCAGAATATAAGTAAACTTGAAGGCAGATCAAAGTAAACGATTACCTCTCACTGTCAGAGAATGAAAATATTTCAATAAAATAAGCAAGGCCTCAGCGACTTCGAGATGACATTAAGTGATCTAACTTGAATGTTCTCTGAGCCACAAATAGAAAGGGAAGAGGATGAAAAAAGATATTTGAAGAGATAATTCCCTACATTTCCTAAAAGGAGCATATCCCAGAAGATTAGTGAACCCTGGAGGAGGAAATGTACCGAAAACCATATCTAGAAACATCGTCATTAAATTTATAAACATCAAAAAAGAAGAGAGAAATGTGAAACAGTCACTTAGATAAACACAAAGATAATACATATAATGAACAGGTGTCCAAATGATGACAGCTTCTCATCAGAAACAATATGGCAAAATGCAATAGAGTCACATTTCTAAAGACATTTAGAGAAAACTGGTTAACCCAGTGCTTGATATCCAGCAAGCATACCATTAAAAAATAAGAGTTAATAAAGATATTTTAAGGTAAACAAAGGTTGACCTCTAGGAATGCTTTCTAAAGCAAGTTCATCAGGTTGAAGGTAAACGATGGCAGCAGGGAGCTCAGATGTATGAAAGGAATGTATGAAAGGAATACAGAGCCTCAGACACGTGTATAGAGATAAGTGATTAAATACCAGTGTCTTTTTGTCTTGTTATACCTTTGAAAATCAGTTAATAGTTTAATCATAAACTATGATAGTTTGTTACTGAGTATGACCTCAGTAACTCACAAGAGCACAAAGGATAGAGTGAGTTTCAGATAGAATGTAATAAGTCACAAAACTATAACAGGATACGGCTAAAAAAAACAGCAGAGGAAATAAAATGAAATACTAAGATATATTTAATTAACCCAGAGGAAGGCAGGAAAACAACAAATGGGGGGGGGGAATGAGGACACATATAAATCAAATAGTAAATTATAAATCTAAACCCAACTATTCGACAATTTGTCAGGAAGACACAATAATTACAAATGTGTAGGAACCTAGGAAGAGAGCTTCAAAAAACTGAAGCGAATTTTGGCAGAACTAAAGAAAGAGAGATTTCACTTATTTTTCTGAGAACTGAAAGAATGAAGAGAAAATATAAGAATGTATTAATATACTTCGATTCAATCCCAGAACTAAATGATTTTTAAGTGATAATATTTTTTCCAGTAACGTTGCATTATTAAAAGAAAACAATAGTATGAATTGTGTTTCTTTATTATAATGTGATTTCATCATGTATCTTTTTTTTTTTGCAGTTTTTGGCCAAGGCTGGGTTTGAACCCACCACCTCTGGAATATGGGGCCAGAGCCCTACCCCTTTGAGCCACAAGCACCACCCGTTCATCATGTCTCTTATATCGACAAAATGTTTGGATATAAATTTGACAAAGGTCACAATTTCTTCTAACTTCTTTCCAAATTACAGAAAATATTTTAAACTTCAGCTTCATTTTGCCATCTATTTTTCTTTCCACAAAGTTCATGACATGGTTTGGAGCTAGACTTTTGCATTCAACACTAACACTTAACTCACCCAAATACAATTCACACTTAGTTTATAAGGAATCAGCATAAAGAAGTTATAATTGAACCTGTAGGTATGAGAGAGAGAAATAAATGAATCCTTACCTTAAAGACTAGCTCACCGACCAAGCCATTCCACGTGCCATCTTCTTGTGGGCTTCCATATTTGTGATCCGGTGCAACATAAATTTCATAGTTAAAACCCAGGTAGTTTGATAAGGCATCCAAAACATCGATGGAGAAGCCTTGGTATTTCTTCGGCTTACCCAAGACATTTTCAGAGACCATTACAAAAGGTTCTTCCTGCAGGAAAACAAAGAGAAATGTCTAGTGTCAATCTATGTGATTCCCTAAAATCAAAGATTCATTCGTTTAAGGAATTTTGCTTAACCCTAAAAGCTGCTTTATACTTTGAGAGAAATTAGGAATATAAATTACACATTATTAATGTATCCTACTATGAAACACTAGTAGGATATATTGAGGTATCCGATTATCCTCATTTAATTATTGCTATATCAAAAATTAGATGAAAGTGACTAGCAAACTTCAGGAGCCATGAGTTCATTTTCCTTGCCATCTCAGGATCAGTCTAAGATTCATCAAAAAATAAAATTATCCTTAACAAACTGTAAATCTATTGTAATTATTTTCAGATCTTTATTATCCAAAAATACAATACATAAAATATTTTAATAGCCATAATCTACATACAATTCCCTGGAAAGAGAAAAAAACTTCTAAGAACATATAATTTAACATAATATCACATTTGCTGAGATTTATTCACAAGAAATTTTGTAATATTGATAAAAACACGTTTTATTGCAAAAATAGTTTTTACAAGACTGCTATGCAAAATTCACATACCTTTTTGGTAAGCCATCTAATTTAATAAATTCAGCGAGTCGGTTTCTGATTGTACCTCTTTTCTACTTTTCCAGTTTTTGTCTTAACAAACAGGCCCCCTTCACTTTTTGGAACACCTAGTCTTAAGACAGCTCCTTTGGTTTTGAGATATGCTGGCAGACTACAGAAAATTAGATCATCTATTTTTTAATTTCCTAAACTTGTTCAGAAATATTTTAGTAATAGTAATATTTACGGATAGCTATTTTTTCCCAATATTTTAAAACTTACTGAGACTTTTTTTTTTTTTTTTATTGTTTGGGATTCATTGAGGGCACAAAGAATTAGGTTACACGGATTGCACTTGGTAGGTAAAGTACAAATAACTATTCATAGTGCATATGGTCCATCCAGCCCTCTGGGCAGGCTAAAATTCTCTCCTTGGGTCTAAGCCAGAATAGCAAAAAATTTTCTTTTGAATCATTTTTCCTCAGGGACTCACAAAATAGCCTTCATTGAAATGTAAAATAACACTTTGAGTTTGGCTTTTCTTCAGAGACACCAAGTAAGTGGCTTTTAAAATCATTGCACCTGTTATAGGAATACTGTCCATCATAACACGCAGCCTTTCCCCTAAAAATTACCGTGACGTAACATTTTTAATTGCTCAGCGTCAAAAAGCTTCATTTTGTTCCAGTAGTGCCTTTTGTTAAATGGTGAAAATAATGTAACTAATATTGAGGTATCCCTTTGCATTTTGGCTTATCTCGAAAATCAGGGCTAACTGTGATTCTCATCTACAACTATGTTGATATTATGGTGCTTGTAGCGCTTCTTTAATCTTGGTTTTCTAAACGACTTATGTTTTCTCATTTTGAAAATGTATTTTCTAACCGTTCACATGTTGCCTTAGAGTATAAGGAATCAGTGACTGGACAGCTAGATAGAGTACGCTGCTGCTCCTTGTCCCCTGTAGCAGCCTTCTTCTCTACCTATGTATTTTATTAAAGTTTAGCACTATTGAGAATAAAGACCATCTGCGGTCCGGCTCCAGGCAAAGGGAGTCCATGCGACTAAGCTGATGTGATGCAAGCAGGCGGGTCTGTGATACATGTCTTGCTGTCCTTTCTACTGCTTCACAGCTGGAACAAATACGCCATGGCTGGTACTCAGGTAACTATCCGAGACACACACAGCAAAAAAAAAATGATAAAACTCTTTGTCCCAGATCTGAAATGCTGTACTAGACCTGAACTGACTCTCTAGGTTTCTAGAATGTCAGAAAGAAAGAAAGAAAAAATTCATTCTCTTTTTGCTAAGCTCCTGATTTTTCCTTTTCTAGTAGTCTCTGCCTTTTATCTCATTTTAGTGAATATTGATAGATCATTAGCTCAGCAGATGAAAGGTTCTGCGAGTGCATCTAATTTTTCATAAATCATTTCACCTAAATTACATCATAATAAATGAGCAGTGAACATCCAATCAATCCTTTAATATTACAGGTAAAAATGCATATTGATGATGATTCCAAATATTTGTATATTTAAAGCAAATAATAAAACTTGCAGACAATTGGCAGACTTTGTGACTTTTTGTGGTTTTTTGGGACAAAATCCAGCCAATGACTCTATAAGTCCTGAAGACATTAGAATCAGAATGAATTAATGTCATTTCAAAATAAAGATCACACTCACAGAGCATGTAAGTAACATCAGAAGTTCTATAACCAATATAGTCTTACACGCCTGTATCATGCTGTAACTGATGGCATCAGAATGCGTGTACTTATTTTATACACCACTTATTCATCTTTAGATTTTGTACATCTATTAATTGGCAAATCAATTGAAAGATGGGTCATGGAAGATATTATTTAACTATTTTTCTACCACTAATTTTGGGTCAAAAGCATTCTCTATTTTTCATAACCTTAAAAATCTAACAAATCTGTAATGTTTAGCTATCATTCGATTATGAGAAAGTTGAATAACACTCTTTGAGGTGAAACTTAAAAAATTAAAAACTTACCTGCATTGCACAGCTAAATTATAGATGTGGCAAAAATAATATCCCAATGTACATGCTGGTATGAACTATTCGTTATTCTTTCTTATTTTTACTTATGTATCTTTAGATCAATTGTTTAATATGTTGAATTGTTTTATTTTCTTAGTATCCTAAACTTACTTCTCAAAATGTCTTTAAAGCTAATTTTATTAGTATCATAAATCCCTAGGCAAATGGATTTGTTGCCACAATCTGTTCCTAGCAATGTCACCTAAAATGGATTAAAGATACAGAATAGAAATGGTTATACTAAGGGTTCTTTTAAAGAGAGCTGATGAATTATTGATGAACATGCCTTTTAAATTTTATGCCTTAAATAAACCTTTATTGCATCTTATCATTTCTCATCTAGATCAATGTTTTTAAAGCTTTGTTTTGAAGCGGTGCAACAGATTTGTATCATTATTCACAAATTTTAACTCGGGGTAGTCCTCCATGTGGACCATCAGCCAATATACTGGGGAGATAAACACAACAAGAATTAGAGTGAAGCTCTGGGAACTGTAAGAGAAAAGATACTTGTTTCATCTCCGTGGCCATGCATAGTTTGGTTTAATCACTTTTTTCTATGAACTTATCTCTGAAATTTATTCCTTCATTAATTTATCCATTTAAAATTGATTGAGCAGCTACTCCCTCAAGGTAATACACTCAGGATAGTGAGAGATATGGTAACAAGTCACAGGCGCCACTTTCACAGCAAAATCATTCTAATCTAGTAGTGGGGAAGGTACTTGATGCACTCAAAAAATGTACAGCAAAACAAAAAGCAGCACACATCATAACTAGTGCCAAGAAAGCCACAAGGAAATTATAATTTTAGATATTAATAGCTATGCACTTTTTTAACAGATGAGAAAATTTAGGAACACAGATTTTCATCTCAAAGTTACAGTAGAGAGAGGCATCAGAGTTTCTCTGAATTCCACGGCATCTCTCTAAATATCCATGTTTTCAACCCATGGATTAAAATATAGTTTGTCTCCAATTGTAACACAATTTAAGATGGTACTAGACTGGCAGAAACTCTAAATACCTTACAGAAAATAACACACAATCCTCCTTGGAAGAAAATATCTTTAATTTAGGCCCTATTATTATTCTTTCAAATAACTGTTTGTATACAATGTCTAAAACAAAAATCAAAGATAGCAGGTGAAAGGAAATAATTCTTCATATATTTGAAACCAACAGAAATAGGTTGGTGGCTGTGGCTCGGTGGGCAGGGTGCCGGCCCATTATACCAAGGGTGGCAGGTTTGAACCCAGCCCCGGCCAAAGTGCAACAAAAAAATAGCCAGGCATTGTGGCGGGTGCATATAGTCCCAGATGCTCGGGAGGCTGAGGTAAGAGAATTGCCTAAGCCCAAGGAGGCTGCTGTGCTGTGAGCTGTGACGCCACGGTACTCTACTGAGGGTGACAAAGTGAAACAAAAAAAAGAAAGAAAGAAAGAAAGAAAAGAAACCAACAGAAATAGATAGATCTTAAAATTTAGATATTAGAATTTTTAGATGCATATTACAAGTATTATATTTACCATGAAGAAATAAGGGCAAGTTTTCTTTTGATGGACAGCAAATTATATAAAACATCATTACAGAGTTGAAAAACAATTGAGACTTAGAAAGGACAATTACCCAAAGTAGGAACATAGTGACTGAATTTATTAGCAGATTAGAAGAAGATGAGCAAAAATTAGTGAATTGTGCAGGCCAGAATTAATACCCATAATTAACATGAATGAAATGGAAGAATAAAAGATCCCAAAGCAAGAATAAATAAAGGAGGAACAGCAAGAAAGGCAGAGAGAGAATCCCAAGTACTGTAAAACATGAAAAGAAATAGGACCTATCGTTTTCTCTTGCTGGATGTGCCAATTGGTATAATCACTCTGGAAAACATTTTGACTGATCTGGCAAAATAGAGAATACTTTTTTTGAGTACTACATATTTTGAGTATCTAGTTTGAAGATATGCGTTGCTATGTCCTAGTAATTCCAAACTCTGGGTATGAATTCAAGACAATTCTTGGCACGAAAATATATGTTTGAGAATACTTTGTAGCACCATTGTTTGTGATAGCCCAAATCCAGAAATTATCTAAAAATCCAAGTACTCAACAATAAGGAAAAGATAAATACACTGGGGTATATTGATTCAACTGAACTGTAAACCGCTTAAAATTGAAGTAGAGCTATACACTAAAGTGAATGCATTTTTAAGAGAATAGCTAGAGGGAAACAAGTTATAACCAAAGAAAACACAGTTTGATTCCATTTATGTAAAATTTACAAACAGATAAAATTAACTACATTTTTAAGAATGCATGTGTAGGTGGGGACGCTGTGAAGAGAATCAAGGAAGGGCTTATTTCTGGGGGGTTAGCTC